TATTCGTCTGAGAACTATGTGCAACCGTTGGTGATGACAGAGATGAGCGAAAGCATTCGGGTGGGTTGAGTTCACGAATTTTCGTTAAATCACCTTTCATTGCTTAGGTTTTACACTTTTTAGACTTCTTCGCAACCATCGAATTACTTCCTGTTTCCTTCAATGGCCCTTTGGGCGGGTGAAAATAACGTGGATAGCGTTGATGTTCCACGGGAAGCTCTTGAAATGACAGGATTGGGTGCGTCATCGTCTGCTAAGTGTCTTTGTGACTGTGAGCACTTGAGCATCTGTATTTAACGCTGACAATGTCTGTCATGGTTAAATTATATGCTACGTACAGATCGGTCTGATAACACGGTTAGAGGGTTACCTAATGAAGGCTGTTGCAGACCGTGCGCGAGTCTACTATGCGTCTTTCGCCAATATTGGTGAAGAAATGGAACCACCTGTGGAGATATCACCCGGATCCGAACAGAAGCCGACTGGACTAGAACGACGACGTCGAATCGTTTCCCGTGTGGTGGCCGTGTCGCTCGTTCTCGATGGCAAAGTTATAAGGCTACCAGAACTTCCTAAGCCGGTGAGACGATGAATTTTTAGTAAAAAGGCCCTTCACTGTGGGCACCCCTATGTAGAGTTTCACCTTCCGTTTGAAGGACCATTTCTTTTGATAGTTTCAGGGGCAGCCATATTTCCATCCTTACTAAAAACCCTTCCACTGGCTTTTCTTTCCGCATTTTGCCGTCCCAGCATAATCTTTGATCAAGGACTTCACTATTTTTAAACAATTTAAATCAGCTGTTGAGGTGAAGAACTGAGCCTGTCCGTTTAGATCATCATCACATTCCATCATTACCCTGAAGCTTTACGACGGATGTCCTCGCCTGAATGCTCTTGGTGGGATACTGAAGACATGAAGGTAAGTGCCGTACGGTAGCGTTTGACAAGCCATCACTCATATTGCGTGATTTTAGTGGTCTACAAGTGGATGCTCCCTACAATCGCATAATTCTACTCATACCGTATGCGCTTGTAGCCATATGACTCATTTTGCCGTTTTGATGGATTATGTCGGTCATGAGGTGGTTTTTTATGTTCCGCTGATTCGTTTTGCAGCCGTCGAACTATTTTTTAACGTTTTTATCTTGCAGATTTCCTCCGGGGATACTCAACTTCTTACATTTCTCACATATACCGGTTGCACGCTGTCAATAGTCTGCCTTACTCTGACATTCTTCTGTTTTGTTGTCTTCGTCAAAGGAGGAGGCGATAGGTATGATTAAGCCCTTTTCTCGTTTCCATGTAAAATTCATGCCGCTTCCGTCCCATTATTGAGAAAATTTAGAGTGTTCATCCATAAAAATCTCTGCGCTTCTCTTGGTATAGCGGAGTTGGTGTTCCTGGCAGGAATTTGGAGGACAGAAGAAAAGGTATGACTAGTGCTGCTCATCTGTTGACAAATTTTATCGATTTAATTGTTTTCTCACTCAGAATTAAAGTTAGTAAATCATGGATTTTAGTTTGAATGCGGTATGATCGCTGGCTGCCTCCTTTATTTCTTTCTATCGGCCTTAACCTGGATGTTACTCGAGGGCTACCAGCTTTACCAGATGCTTGTTGAGGTATGTTTTGGATGACTTGTCTCAGGCTTCTCGGCATAATACTCATAAATTCTTGGTAACTTACCGTACATTCCGATTTGCAGGTGTTCCCTGCCTCACGACGTCGATTTACCTTTTTCCTTGTTGGCTATGGCCTACCAGCTATCATTACTGGAGCAGCCGCTTATTACGACCCGACTGGTTTTGGAAC